TGGGGAGATCACTTCCTCCTTTTAGGGACCTAATTAACGGATGACATTTACCTAAAAGTATCTAAAAAAAGCACTGAATTATGCAGACGTGAACGAACGAAATATAAAGTTTCTGCATGCCAATGATACACCAGTACGTGGTTGTATAAAGAGATTGTACCCTCACTCCTAACGTGGACAATCTTTTCCTAGTTGAAAATGTTGGCTCTTTAGGGACACACGACGGTCATGATCTTAGTGTAATTCTAAAGAAGATCTCATACGTACTTGAAAATCTTACACGAAAGTATTATGTCGTAAAATGTTTACCAATATTGCTGAAGCGAAGTCAGTCAGTCAAACGCAGTGCAGTGTGCAAGGCTCTCATCATTGATGTGAGTCGGTCGTGTCCAAACCATGGACTTTAATATTTATCGGACGTTTGATCAATTGTGTTTTGTTCATGAATAGAAGTAGTGATAACCAAAAAACATATAGCTATTGCAAGTCACCTCCCATATCATTTTTCGGACAGATAGACATACACATACCTAATGTTTTGATGGATTCAAAATTTTAAACAAATTTCATTCTTTCATCCTCTTAGTTTAGATAATATTGTTCAAAAAAAAAAAAAAAAATCAAACAAATATTCATGACATTCAATTTCCACATGATGCATTACTTGTAGAACTTTTTTTTCTTAATAGATGATTTCTGGATCATTTCATTCAGATTTCCTTTAAATACAGAATTTAATAAACATCCATTTGCATTAATCATGTGATTTCCTAAAGCATGCTTTTATTTTGCACAAAAAGAGTGGAGGATTTGAGTTAGAACACTACACACATGGTGGAACATAATAAATTAATATCGGGCTTGTCATTCACAAAAGTCGAACACCTTAACGTTACCCCGAGGGCCCGAAGAAAGTAAATGATTGAAATATCTTTGAAGTTAAAATGATTTCATGCAGTCGTAGTAGCCCGCTGGTAAATAAGAAAGCCAACCATGAGGCCAAATATCGTATGCATTCTAACTGTATAGGTGACAAAGTTACATGAAAATATTATGCGAGTCCAAAACCCTAGCTATGTACACTATCTTTTCTTAAAGCTCACGTGGAGGTGTTTTTAAAATGATTAAAAACGCTATTAGAAAAAATGTTTTTGGAACTCAAAAACATTTGAAGTGTTTTCTATAAGAAACACATACTTGATGCTTTTTGTAAGAAGCATTTCAAGTACTTTTTCATAATTTACTTACATTTTTACAAAGAATTAGTTCCAAAAATATTTTCATCAAAAACGCTTTCAACCACTTTAAAAGCACTTCTAAATAAGTCCTTACTATCATTTTGTTTTTGTTTTGCAAATTTACATGATGGGTTGTTTTATTAACACCCCACATCTTTATGAATACACCCCACATCTAAAATGCGCCTCTAAAATTCCAACTTTGTCCTCCATTTTTTTGAAGCCACCCCATCCCCATAAACAAATGATGGCAAAAAAGCTAGCTCGATGGCCATGAGCCACCCATATAAGAGGTATCCGTCATCGATATTAGCACAGCCAAAACCCTCCCACGTCTCGGAAGTTAACAGCCAAGACAGACTCTGTAACAGACCGAGAATTGCCCAACACTCTTGATTCACACACCCTATCTCCCAATTCCCTATTACCTACCGACAAGTGGCGGATGTGAAACCCCATCCCAAATTATGTGTAATTTCATATTAATGAAATTAGGAAATTACCATTTTGCCCTTTATCCTCCTACCCTGTCCGGATTCCCCTTCCCTTTTTAGATTTTTTTGTTATTATTTTATAACTCTCCCTCCATCTTTGCTTGCCATGCGGCGCCACCCCCACCCCTATCTCCTTATCTCTTCTCTCCCTCGAACTCTCTCTCAGCTCACACTCTTTCTCCCTCTCGCAGATCTCTCTCGCGTCTCAATTCTCTCATCTCCTCTTGGTGAACTCACACACACACACACATACATACCTACACACCGACCACCACCATCACAACCACACCACCATCATCACCTGGACCTCCCCTCCCTACCTCACCTCTCCGATCTCTCTCTCGGCATTGTGCATGTGGCTCTTCGGTGAGGTAAGTCGAAATTTGCCCTAAATGTTCCTAGATCAGGTTTTAGTTGAGTAGTTCGCGCAAAATTTATATGCATGTTTCATATGTTCTCGGCATATGCATTCATTAAATGGTTTTCGTTACCCTCGGATGTCAGCCAACACGTGACCATCTCGATGTTCCCGGACATCGGGATCGGGGTGTGTCAGGATATATATATATATATATATATATATATATATATATATAGAGAGAGAGAGAGAGAGAGCATGGCGAGTGGCTGGGATTTTTTGCCCAGACACTGTGGTGGTTGGCAGCTGGTATAAAGGGGTGGATGGGGTTTATTTTGGACTTCAGAACTTAATTCGTCAAGGTAAAAACGGAAATTTAATTGAAAAAAATAAAATTATATGGTGTATTCATAAAATTGTGGGGTGTTAATAGAATTACTCTACATGATTCATGATTTCTTATGTGTTTATAGGTATTTTCATAAAGTGCAAAATAATACATAGGGTGAAGGTTGGAGTGATAAATGAATGGGGATTATTAGATAAAAGTCCATTAACAACATCGATTATCTTGTTAAATGAACAATAAAAACAAAGGAGTTTTAATAAAACACTCTCGGTACTGTTAACTTTTAACGAAAAACTACATTTTTACTTTTCCCTGGTACCATTCACTACACTTTTATTTGTCATTTTTCATTAAAACTAAATTTTTTTAAATTTTTTATTAATTTTCCTTAAAAAAAAAAAAATCTACCTTATTAATATTAACAAATAAACACGGTAAATTTTTCCAGCTTTGAAAAGATCAATTAGTGATGTTTTCTTCAAAAGAGATTTCTAATCATTTCAGTTTTGTTCAACAGACGTGTGTTGAGGGTTTGAATTTTTATGTCTACCCTAGTACTAGCTCCCTAGCTACTCATACAAATTTCTAAATTAAATAAAAGACAAATTTATTCAAAAATAAAATATAACGTGGACAAAAAATGGTATGTATGAGCATGGTCCAAGTTTCGGGTCGTGCATCAAACACAACTGGACCCTTTGTTTGTAACCAGTTGCTTTTACTCATACAAAATTTGCATGTCTATCATAAGATTTACAATAATACAATACATTGTCATGTAGAGAAAAGTTTATACATTTTCATGTTATGTCGATATTATTGATTCGACTCGGGCAAATTATAAGTCTGTTAGAACCATGTGGATGTGGAGCTACACACATAAAATTAGTACTCCATGTATTGTCTTTCTTCTTGTCCCTGGATGTCCTACCTGATTCTTTCTGCATGTGATCTAATATATTGTTTGTTCGTTAACCAGGGTAACCCTCACACCAAGTGGTACCACGTCTGGTGAGAGCAAAGTACAGGAAATTTTATTTAGTAATTTCATATGAAGCTCCCTACATACATAAAATTTTTCTCTCGCGAAATAATTGGTGCACACCAAATCTCTTCTGGTATACGTCTAGTTACTTTAGGGGGCGTTTGTTTGCCCTCACTAAGTTGGACTGGACCGGACTGGACTAGCTATTAGTCCAATACTGTGTTTGTTCCATGCTGGGACTAACATTAATGAGACTAAAGGGGACTAGCATGGACAAAACCCTTCACTAAGAGGTCTTAGCGAGACCCCCCAATAACCATGGGACTAGCTAAGACTATCCTCTCTTTCTCGTCCTCGTCATGCTCAACGACCATTCTCGACAGACTCCTCGTCATCTCCGTTCACCGAGGTCAATCATTAACTTTCCGACTCTTTTTCAGATCCATTTCACAACCAACTTTCATGCAAAATATACCAAATTAAAGTTGGGAGTGACAAGATTACGATTTTACCTGAATCGAGGCCAAAATGTGGTCGAATGTGGCTGGAAAATGGCCTGGAAGTCTCGGCCTGTTTGGGCTTCTTCAAATCCATGACAGATTCGAGCATTCAAAGCTAAGATCTCGGTCCAGGGATGGTGATGAATTTTTTGGCGGTGCTAACTTCATCCAATTTAACGAGGAAATCGTAGGAAAAAATGAAGAAAAAGATAAGATCATAATAAAATATTAATAATTTATATATTAAATAATATAATATTATAATTTGTTATTATCCAGCTTCTTAGTCCAATACTGCACCAAATGCTTCACTAAGTTAGTCCAGTTTAGTCTAGTCTAAGCCAGTCCAGTTTAGTCCTTGAAGCTAATCCAGTCCGAGATAGTCCGGCGCAACAAACGCCCCCTTATAGTTTTAAAATGAATAAATAAAAAAAGAATTTAAAAACGGAAAAAAACATGGTAGCTCACAAATAGAAATTTGGTATGCATAAGCCCTCTTTTGGTATTAAGGTGATTCTGAAAGAAATAACTATAAAAAAAAGATAGGAGCTTTTTTATTTTTGGTAAACATTCAGCTTCAGTTTTTTTTCATAATTTTGGATGAAAAAAGGCCAAAAACATAAAGCTGCAAAACCTAGCTTTGAAAAATCAACTTTTTTTCACATCTGTTTTACATAAAAATTTATCAAACATTATAATACTGTTTTTTTTTCTTTATTCAAAAGTACTTTTATAAAAAATTTTACCAAACACTCTACTATTTTATTTTACAACTATTTATTCTTATAATACAACAAAAATAATTTTTTTTCAAGGCACAACAATACTAAAGCAGGCAAACCAGCCATAAGTCTTTTACTTTTATCCCGTTCCACTGCGGAAAAAAGTACAGAGCTTTGGAGTCGATAGAAAGACTCTCACTTTCTCTCTCTGCTTTTCTCTCTCCTATTATAATACTAAGACTTGAAGTTTGTCACGTACCGTCGTGGGACTGGGTGGTTTGATCTGTCTGTATTCCCATCACAAAAGAAGAATGCTGTATATCAAATGTATAAATAATGATGGCTGGGGTAAATTAATAACGATCCATGTTTTTTTTTCCTTCGATCTTTTAATTTCCATACTCGCCTATGAAGCGTTTAGAAACCAATATTTTATGATAAATCCTCTTCCTTTCTCTCTCCCTCTTTCCATTTCTCTTCTCTCTCTCCTCTCTGTGTGTTTCTGTCAGAATTAACAAAGAAATTGCCAGCAATTAAGGGGAAGAAGCAGCAGCTAATCAGAAGAACTGCAAAAAAGTGAGATTGGTTATACAGAAATGAATGGTCTCTCACATCTTGAACCAGATTACTGTGAGTTTGTTGAAGTTGATCCAACTGGGAGATATGGCAGAGTAATTACCTCTCTCCCCCCTCTCTCCCCTCTCTCTGTCCTCATTTTCTTCTGTGAACTCTGCTTAAAGAATGAACCTTTTTTTACTTTTAATTTTTGTTTGCAGTACAATGAAATCCTTGGCAAAGGAGCTTCTAAGACAGTGTAAGACTTCAAGCTCTTAACTTTCTTCAAAAATTATCAAAACCCAGTTCAGTTTTCTCAAATTTTTGAATTTTTTTGGGGAATTTGGCAGATTTTTTTAATGATTGTTTCTGGGTTTTTTTTTTATTTTATATTTTTGTTGCAGTTACAGAGCATTTGATGAATATGAAGGGATAGAAGTTGCTTGGAACCAGGTCAAGCTTTATGATTTCCTGCAGAACCCTGAAGATCTTGAGAGGCTCTATTGTGAAATCCACCTCCTCAAGACATTGAAGCACAGAAACATCATGAAATTTTACACTTCCTGGGTTGATACTGCCAACAGAAACATCAATTTTGTCACTGAAATGTTCACCTCTGGGACCCTTAAGCAGTATGTATTTTCTGAGTTTTCAATTAACAATTATGATTTTTTTTTTTTTTGCTTACTTTCCTAAAACCAATTTTGTTAATCTTTTGTGGGTTTTTTTTATGTTAATTACTGATAGGTATAGGTTAAAGCACAAGAGAGTGAACATTAGAGTAGTGAAGAATTGGTGTAGGCAGATCTTGAGAGGGCTTCTGTATCTCCATAGCCATGACCCTCCTGTGATCCATAGAGATCTCAAGTGTGACAACATCTTTATCAATGGAAACCAAGGGGAAGTGAAGATTGGTGACCTTGGTTTAGCTGCAATCTTAAGGAAATCGCACGCCGCTCACTGCGTTGGTAACTTCGAATGATCCATCCTATAAGAATTGCTTCATAAATTGTCATACTTTGAATCAAATATGGATGTTCCTATGCAAATTTTGTTTATTTGGTAATTTGTGGAGTTAATTGGAACAAGGGAAAGTTATTTACCTAGAAGGTTAATATGTGTTTAGATTTCTTTTCGATTTTATTGAAGTAGGGACACCAGAGTTCATGGCTCCTGAAGTATATGAAGAGGCATATAATGAGCTAGTTGACATTTACTCATTTGGGATGTGCGTTCTGGAAATGGTCACTTTCGAATATCCGTATAGCGAATGCACTCATCCTGCTCAGATCTACAAGAAAGTTGTTTCTGTAAGAGGATTCTCTTTCCCTTTCTTTCTGGTGGAATTCTTTACTATCTTTACGAAAAATGTGATATCTAAGATTCTTTTCGCATTCTGTATTTCATAGGGTAAAAAACCAGATGCTTTGTACAAAGTTAAAGATCCAGAAGTACGAGAATTTGTTGAGAAGTGCTTGGCAACTGCGTCGTTGAGGCTCTCTGCGAGGGAGCTTTTAAATGACCGTTTTCTCCAAATTGATGAATGTGAATATGATTTGAGATCACTAGATTATGGTAGGCAGCTAGATGACATGGGTCCTCTTGCAAGGCAGCCTCTATTAGAGCTTCATCGAAGCAACAGTTCCTTTAGTAATGGATACTCGAATGATTACGATTTTGATGCCCCAAATGAGTGGACTGTTGATATAGAATCATCTGGAATCGAACTGTTTGAGCACCATGAGGATGATCATTCTGATGATGTCGACATTAGTATTAAGGGGAAGAGAGGAGAAGACGGTGGCATCTTTTTGAGACTTAGAATTACAGATAAAGAAGGTTGGCACAGTACTTTACTTTTTCTAGAGTTTATTTATGGATTGTCTATACGTGGAAACTAAATGTAGCACTTTAAATCCTATACTTTGCAGGTTGTGTACGCAACATTTATTTCCCATTTGACACTGCGAACGATACAGCATTGAGTGTGGCAACTGAAATGGTTGCAGAGTTGGATATCACCGATCAGGATGAAACCAGAATAGCAAATATGATTGATGGGGAAATTTCCATGTTGGTACCCGATTGGCAATCAGGACCAGGACTAGAGGAAACACCCCGGTTTGCTAATCAAAGCTTTTGTCACACTTGTGTTTCCAATCACACCTCAAGTGGTTCCATGACGGAGTATCTGTCGAACCACCCTAGCGCTAAGGACTTGCAAGCTCTTCAATGTTGTAAACATGGTTGTCCTTCAATGCACGGTCGTTTTGAGGAGGTTACATACCAAGCTGACGAGTCTGAGTATCATGTAACAAAGGGTGAACCAAATGAATCAGGCCAATCAGACTGCGTTCAATACCAAGAAATTTGGGGACAACAACAACATGAAAGTCGTGAACTTAGTTTAGTAGGCTTGAGACAGATCCATTTAGATGAAGAATATGAGAAAATGGATCACTTAGTCACAGTTGAAGATGAGCAAGATTCTAAAGTGGAAAACAATACGGCATCCGAGGCAAGAAATTCCATCAGAAACTTATCAGGTTTACATTCTATTTGCATGAGCCCGCCAATGTACCATGACCTCCCAGACAGTTACGAGAACGAAATTCAGAAGGATTTGAGATGGTTCAAAGCAAAGCACCAGATGGAGCTGAGGGAACTTCGAGATGAGCAATTAGGAATCATCTCAACATCTTTGCCGAATGCAAGTAAAGAACAAAAAATAGACAACGGGTTCTTATCATCTTTGGTATCAAACACAATACGAGGAATCAACAACACAGTTCTTTCGAAATCTTGCGCTTATGATCACCAACACTTAACTCCAGATTTTCATGCTAATCTTGAAAAGAGCTGCCCCAATTCGGAACCCCAAGGGGCCCGAAATTGCGAGGCGATGGAGTCTCCCAATGCGGCGAATGTGATCACTGGCAAGAGTCTGTACAGAGACTCACTGCTTCCTCACTCTCTTCGCAGGACAGTTTCTCTCCCAGTTGATGCTGTTGATTTATAAACTTGCAGAGGCACAAAGCATGTATTCTTTTCACAAATTCCATGCATCATGTATGGCTACCAAGGCCAGGCCACTCCTTTCTTCATCAAGGGATGTGGCTTTCCAACAAACTGGGATGATATGTATTTAAAAATTAAGGAAAACTAATGAAAAATGCTTGAAAACCGAGTATGTATATATGAGGAAAAATGTAAGTTTTGAGGCCTATAAAGATTGTGTTCAACTCCATCATATTATTACACGGGAGCTATTGGTTGTAAGGGAGTCATATATATTATGAGAGATTAGTGTCATTGGATGTATACAACCATGACAATAGAAACAGACACATTATTCAACAATTACATTTAACTGGTGATATAGTAGATTTTCATTTCAAGTTAAGATTCAAGACACTCAAAAGAAATACAGCACGAAAAAGTCCTTGATTCTAAAATTTGAATACAAGAGGTAAACGTGTCATCGTGGCCAACCTGACTTAATACGCATTTGTTAGGGACTTTGACTGAGATAGATTGAAAATTGAAAAGTAATCTGAATTGAATTATTGGCATGTCAATGCTGAGTTGGCCAAGGGGAGGTATTATCAGGATCTTTTGCAATGCTTCTGGTAAGACATACCTGGCCCCTCCAATATGTGTCAATTATGGAGTGGTTTATTCAATTGTTTTGGCCCCACAAGAACAAATGAATCATGCTTCATGTTCCATGCTCCATGCATGCTCTTCGACTTAACTTGCACATTCTGGTTGCCCGTATTTTATCACCTAAAAAATATTGGCCCTTTAATATGAACTTCCCTAAGGATGAGTCTTACCTTGAAAAAGACATCTAAGCTAATGCGAATCACATATCGAAACCATCAAACCATATCTTGTGCCAAAAGTTTTACTCACTCTTATGTTAAAGTGTTTTAATTTGACAGATTCACTTATAAATAAAAGATCTTAAGTTCAGTTTTTTGTGATTTAATCTAAATCATGCTAGATGCTACATTTAGTGTAAAATATATCTGTGTATTAAAAAAAATAAAAAACTCAAACTCCGTTTTTCATGTGTAACCATGCCAAACGAGGTGGTTTCAAGAATATAAATTCAAGTATTTGATGGATCTAGGAAAGTTGAGGTATTTGATTCAATTTCGATTTTAGATATAGATAATCAAAAATTACGTCATAGAGCATGCCATTTGCCTAGCCCCTTATATTTGTTGTTTCTCATTTTTGTACTTCACAATTTGACGCATATAAAGAAATAGTATGTCATAGATTTAAATGTGATACGATAAGATAAAATCTTTGCATTTGAGTTTGAATTAGAATTTGATTTAAATTCAATTGAAGAATCTATAAAAGAAAAGTCTTTTCACACGTATAAAATTGTAATTGACAAATTAGTAGCTACGACCATATTTTTTTTCCTTTTTGGGTTTATAAAAGTGGGTGGCAAAGTGGAGGCCAACTAGTCTTTTCGTTTATTGTTTATATTGCATTTGCTGCCTTTTATTGGGTGTTGAATTGAGACCAACTCAAATGGTTTTAGCATTGCATTACTTTATGGGAAAATCTAGAAAGTTATATAGATGCGTGAAGTGTTTGATATATATCAATTGAGGCATGCTAAAGATATCAAAATTTAAATTATTTTTTATAAATCATAATGTAACGTTTGAGAGTGGTGATTTAAAAAAAAAAAAGAGCATAATCATCAACTGCAAAAATCATCAAGGGGTGATTCAGGAGTTGAGAATGAATTTCAGGTCTGTATTTCACACAACACATTCTATGTTCGATTCCTGACGCTGGTGAATCACACGACATGTAAAGCTGAAATGCCTATGTGAATATTTCCAGCTACAAAAAAATGAACTGTCGTGGTGAAATCAACAACCATTGTTTTAGTCTAGGCCCTATTTAGGCGCTAGGCAGCTGGCTACCGTCCGATTAATCCTTAGACGTTTGAAAATTAAGAAAGGGCGTCTAGACCTCCTTAGACGTCCACTTTGCCCACTTAGTCCCATCTAAGTCGTGACTCTCACTTAGACAAAAAACTGGTAACTTTCATTTTTGCACTTTATTTTTGTTGAATAAATTGTGAGAGACTTGTTGAATACTTGAATGAACCCTTATCATGTGTTTGTTCCCTATATTTTCAATGTGTTCTACTATTGTCATCTAAAGGCACTAGGCGCTAGTCAAGTGCTAAGTTGGGGCCTAACACCTAGGCAGCTAGACACTTATGTATACTATATAAATATATTTACTTAAATTTGCCTAGTCCGTCTAAAACTTCTCCTGACCGCCACTGGACTCCAGCTCATTCCCTGATTAGTTCCTAACCTTTTTTAGAACCTCACCACCAACTCCTTATAGCATTTTTTATATCAAAATCAAGAAGAAGAAAGAAAAAAAAGCAGTTTGGTATTCCATACATGATCGGACGGTTTAGATTGTATTAATCAAAATCACAACTTTTTAAGCTTAATAAAACCAGATAATGATGGCAAAATGTCTGATCAACTTTTTGATAATTTGACTCCAAATAAAGGAATAAACCAAATCAAGTGTCCGGTCAGATACGGCTTATGTGCTTGATGCTACTCTAGACAACGATAGCCACATGCAGACGACCATTCCCAACAACCAATCAGTCAATGACAATATTATGATAGAAATTGAATCTTTAAAAGTGATCCAGCGTAAACAATGTTCTCTTTTGAATGGTTGAATCTCTTACATCGCTTGAAACCAACGTTCGGTAAAGACTGATGCAGCGATGATCACACCAGTAGATTGTCAAGTGGACTGTTCGACGAAAGGATAAAGATTTTTACTCCTTTGTGTTTAGGTACTGGTTGATCCCATGCAAGTGCAAACCCCATTGCATATATATATATATATATAACGCAGCGATGATCAGACCAGTAGATTGTCAAGTGGACTGTTCGACGAAAGGATAAAGATTTTTACTCCTTTGTGTTTAGGTACATGGGGTACTCCTTTGTGTTTAGGTACTGGTTGACCCCATGCAAGTGCAAACCCCATTATATATATATATATATATATATATATATATATAAAGGGACAAACTGGTGGCTTGACACTCCACCATTCAGATGATCGGAAAGACTCATAGAGACATTTCAACCTCTTCATGGCCACCATCATGCGATTCATCAACACTAAGAATTGAATCTAAGACGTGTTGTGGCATACGAGCCTAGGACCTCCTACTACTGAGCCACCCTGTGATGGTTAAACTCCATTATATAAGTCAGACTCATTTGAGTTTAGGACCTTCTACTACAAGTTGTGGCGTTTGAGCGTCAATAGAACTTGAAACGTGAAAGTGCCGTATAAAAACACATCCTTCTTGTGGTGGATTGAGAAAATGACCTCCACTGCACAAGATACAATCATGAAAACATGATTCGTTGTAAGAGAATTATTGAAGTTGGACCAGTCGGGTTCAACCCAAGGCAATCCACAGATACAAAGGGTAGCTAGTTCCACGTGTAGTGTCAGTTCATCCCATCACCGCAACCCCCCATCCCTATCCAAGATCCAACCTACCGCCGAAAGATGTAAAAAGAAGCCTTGAGAAAAGTGCCATCGGGATGCAGTTCCCACTTCCCAAAATGGTAGGGAATGTTAGGCAAACTCCACAATATGTGATGGAAGAAACTAGTCCTAAAGCTTGTCCCAACCCTTGACATGTCCTTTTTATACACCAAATCGGGAGAAACTTACCAACGCTAGGGATGCCATTGTGGTGATATCTCAAGCGAATCAAGCAATGCAATATGTGATTAGCTTGAGACATCACCACAATTGCATCTCAAGTGCATGAAAGTTCTACTCTTGAATGGGAGAGAAACTTTCCTACGCCTGAAATGCCGTTATGGTGGTATGCCAGGTGAATTGCACACTGCCAATGTGACAAAAGTTACTTACCTACTCCTGGAACATCATTGTGGCACTATTCCAAGTGAATCATGCGTTGCAATGTGTATTAACTTTCTACGTTAGTAGTGTGATTAACTCAGGATACAGCAACAATCGGATCCCATGTGCATGAAAGTTCTCGCTGACTAGATAACCGCTAACCGAACCAAACCATTAGCAACCTTAGCAATACAACTTTACAAGCTCATATATCGAAGGTATTGGAGCTTTTGTTGCATTAAAAGTTTACTAGTCTTCATTACTACAACAAACTTGAACTATATACTATAACTTGGGAAGGTATGTAGTCAAATTCTAGCTTTTGTCACATTACATTTGCCAAAGTACACCTATTACGAAAATGATTGAAATTAACACGACGAAACTCTATTCTAAATATAGATACCTCAGTATAAAATTACACGAAAGACACTCTTTCTAGACATGTATAATTTCTGTACATTGCGGATATCCCCCAATGAAATGGCCCTTCATCAATGACTCAATATGCAGTTCAGTTGTACCTCTTGCAGGATAGTGCAGGGTTGCCCGAATGTTCTCTCATAAAGGCCTCAAAAGCGGGTAGTCTTCAAGTAGTTCCCGCTCGGACAGAGTGTCAGTTTCATTCTGAGGAGTCCACAAGACCTCTACTGCCTGCAAGAAAAAGAACAAGATGTATATGTATCAGCTCAGCTCCGATTTAGCAGAAAAATTTGCGAGTTCAATGAAAGTATTGTTACCATTATTTTGCTCGAGGGAATGGATCCAAGCTTTTGCAATGCTTCCTTCAAGTCACCACTGCCGTTGATGGCAGGCAACTTATGCACTCCTTCAGCAGCCACCAATATTGTTATCTGATTGAAATTCAGACAGAAAACAGGTCAGATATTAACAATTCTGTTCCCTAAAACAATCCTGAAACTATTCAACTCAATTACGAAATTTTATGTTATTTCCTAAAACACTAGAGGAGAGAAGAATTTTTATGTTTGTATGGTATATAATCTCAGATGTATGATATAAGCATAGCAGTCACTACCAAAGATGAGGTCAAGAAACGTTCATCATCCCAAACGTTCATATTCACCAATACTTCCATGATAGGCCAGCAGGGCCTCTATAACAATGCTTAGATTTGGAAACACTGATTTTAATAGAATGTTCAGGGCTTAACTAGTAAATAAACAACACAGGTTCGTCCTTACCACTATATATTCATTGCGGAATCCATTAGCACTCCGGCTCGTTGAGCTTTGCTTTCTTATGTTGTTCACATTGACAAGTGTCTCTTCGTCAAATTTACCCCTCTCTTCGATAGAAAGCTGATTAAAGCTTTTCTCTGCATCCTCTACGCCTCGCTTTAGAGCAACCTACAAGCATGACAAAAGTTATAATCCATGTCCTTCACATTCCTCATATCTATATAAAGTTATACTTTCTGTTTTCCTCCATGCATCCATAACTTAACAATTATAAGAAAAACTCCAATCCAGATCGTGCTTCAGACATTATTCCACCAGACCAACGGTTTTGATTTCCTCTCACTTTTTCTGGTTAACAATAAATTTAAGGAGTATTCCACCGCCCCTCTATAAATAGGCACCGCCATGACACTATTATCTATGTTTTCATCAGCATAGATCATGCTTCCTCTCGCAATTTGTAAGAAAGCTTTGCATGTTTGCACGAGACATCAAATTGCATTAGTTTTAATCTTTAAAAGTTTAGCCTAAGCTGTTTAAATTACTTGACAAGTAGCTGCCACTACCATATGTTATCTCATACTTTATAGTGCCAAATATCTTAAGAGAGATGAATTCCTTGATTTATCATTATCTCTTCCTATGGGTTTCCACCATCTCTAACAATGGTAGGCAACAACAATGATGCACCAGATATCAACCAAGTATGCCAACAGATGATATTGAACTTACAGATGAATAACCGGAGATGCAATAATCAGGATGTCGTAGCAAAGCTAGTGTTGTCTCTGCAATTTTAGTAAAATTTGCATCAGAATCCCGGAAGGAAAAGAAATCAAGAATACAAAATAGTAACTTAACATTCTGGGTATGGTAATAGATCTAAATACTAGTTTAACTGAAAACCCAATCCTAAGAGCTCAGTTGTATTATGCAACTGTGCGTGAATAATAATATATATAGGTTCACCTGTCAAAACATAGCCCAAACCATCAGGGGTAGAAGTATCTGCAGTTTCAGCAATCCGATTAAGATCCCTTTGGAGCATTCGTCCCATGCCCAACAAACCAACCTTAGAGAAGGAGAAAAATTGATGGTGAAACAATAGAGAACAAAATGTTCGTTGCCATCCAACAAAAGAGTCTATAGAGTGCATATCACATTTCCAAAAATTAGGCTATAAAGTGAAATTACAGCACTAAATATCTAATTTCCAAATTGTATGTATGATCCCCTACTCTTATCCTCGTTTCAAGGTTAAAGCCAGTCGATGTTGCTATGTTTTACAAATACCGGCGCACTTTTCAGGGAGTAGCTTCAGATGCCTTCCTCCAAACCCCAAATACTCAGTTATCTTAAAACATCCATCCTCGAATGTGCTTACTTACAGCCATATCATTTCTTGATCCCCTAGTTTTTCTACTTATAGAACAATCAGCCCTACCTTTAACATGTACCGATCAAATAAGGCGAAAATCCCCACAGTTTGCCACTTCAGCACAAAAATCCTAGTTCTAACCCAAACCATCCATATCCAAATTGAATGCAATGAAGGGCAAACAAGTCATTGAACTTAATAAACGAACAAATGTCCAACCTAACAGTTCACGGGGTCATATGTATAAAGATCTCTAATTTAACAGAGGATTTCAAATTGCATAGCAGCAGCATGATAATATACATATATATACATACAGATATGTCTGCAGAGTGAAAATTACAAGCATTCAATCAAACCTGAAGCTTGAGAACGCTTGTTTTCTCAGTAGCAGTAAGCACACTTCCTTCAGACCGATCCGAAAGGAACCCGGAAACCAAAACAAACGCCGCAAAACCCGTCAAGATCAGGAAGAAGCTCGACCCGGCTCCAACTCCGAACCCAAATGCCGGCCCCACGTAAAATCCACCACCCCCGCCACCGAACCCGAAAGGCGAAGGCGCGTAGTACGGCGCGGAGTACGAAAAACCGGGCCTTGAGCCCGGAGTCCTCGGCACCGAGTAACTCCTCGAGGACGAAGAGGAAGACGACGAGCGCGAAGAAAACGAGCCTCCCCCGACCCGACCGCCCGAGGCAGCCAATGCCGAATTGGGATCGGACATCAGCAGCAGACCCAACAACACGGCGACCATTGCCGGCTTTCTCAACGCCTTCATAGCTTCCAACAGCTTTCCGGCGACAATCCCAATTGGGTTTACTGGGTTTGTTGCTGGTTGTGCTGGGTTTTCTTCAACGACAAGGGACTGAGATTTTGAGTCGGGTAACTGCTTAAAGCATTGAACTTTGAATTTGCAGGGGAGTTTTTGGATTTGGAAATTGAAGTTTTTGAATTTGATTGGGTTTGTGGGGAGGGGGCGGAGACGGGGGAGTAGATTGTGCTGCTTCCATTTCAATGGGTTGGGTTGGAGCAATGAAGCTGTTGCCGCCATTTGAAAACTGTTTTCGAGTCGAGCGTTTTTGGAATTCAGAAATCAAAAGCGTGGACGGGTTTTTGTTTTGAGAAACGGAATTTTGGAGGAGGAGATATCAGCTGGCCTCTCTGATTCGTTCAATCTCAGCCTCATTTTCTTCGTCCGTGTCTTTTTCTCTTGGATCAACCCATGAAGATAATAGATTTTCCACGTTAAATGTTTGACTTATTTTTATCTCCGTCCTTAAAATTTGATTTATCTCACTTTAGTTTCTCTCTTACTTAAAAATCGCCATTTTATTCTTTGAAATTCAAAGTTCGCTTAACTTTTTCCCCTAAAACTTGATTTTGATCTCATTTTACTCTTTGAAATTTGAAAGTCGTCTCTATAACACTCAAATTCGCTCCACATTACCGGATCTGTTAATTTCTTGTATGAGTTTGATTTGGATGCCCAGGGTAATCATTTCCTTTTTTATCTTTTCCATCTCTTCATTTTCTTTTAAATTTAATATCTTCTGATTGTTGAATGTCAACGCAAAGTGGAGATTTATAATCAAATTTATTGCACATGTGACATAGTCTTATTGGATGTTGGGTCCTACGTATGTTTTAAGAGACGACTTATAGGTTTCATGGGGAAGAGAGAGTCATAAGTCATAATGGACCAAATTTTGAATTTCATAGAGTAAAGTGGTGATTTTTAAGTTACAAGAGCAAAGTGAGATAAAATGAAGTTCCAGGGACGTAGCTAAATAAGCCTTATAAGAATGGGTTATTTTGACCACCTGATAAAATTCGATCCTGGACCAAAATGATAAAAATGGGTTATGTTCGGTGGACTTTTAGTTCGTCTAACCCCTCTGAGTTGCACTCCTAGTTGAATCGTGGACCGAGTTCTTGTTCGGCCCGAATCATGACTTGGTGTCCAAAGTCCGACCCGAATTATTTAGAGCCTTTGGGCCTGGCCTACAAAAAAAAAAAGAGTTAAACGTAGCTCGGCCCAAACCCACCTAGTATCGACCGTCTCCATCCTTCGAAACCCTAATCCATTAAAAGCTAAACTCTTCCAACTCTCTCAACTCCCTCTGCCGTAGCTGCTGCGACTGCTCCATTTTCCGCCTCATTGCCCTCTGGTTTGGTATCTTCCGGTCTAATCAAAACCAACCATGGCGGACAAGGCAGTCACCATCCGAACCAGGAAGTTCATGACCAACCGCCTTCTCTCTCGCAAGCAATTTGTGAGTTCCTCCACCATTTCTTCCTTTTTGCATCTAGCATTTAATTGGGTTTTCGATCTTGTGTGCGTATTTGTTAGTGGGTTGAGCTGTTTTATTTCTTTAATTTTGTTAATTTTCTTTGTAAAGTTGCCTACTTTAATCTGGATATGTGACTTTTCTTATCAAGCTGTTATTCACCCTACCGAGTTTTTAATTATAATTTGGCTACCATTATTTACTTGTGATTTTTCTCTGTAAAGTTGCATGCTTTGATCTGGATTTAGGGTTTATTTATGTAATTCATACTCATCCAACTGGGGTTTTATTTATTTATTGATTTATTTTATGTATGTTGGATTGTAGGGGTTTAGTGAAAAATAAGAGGTTTAAATGATTTGTTAGAATTTTGTGCTGTCAGCTTTCCGTGATTAATCTTCTCTTACGGGGTTAATCATAATTCAATTTTTGCTTTTGTTCCATGTAGGTCATCGATGTTCTTCATCCAGGAAGGCCAAATGTTTCAAAGGTATTGTTTTTTTTTTTTTTTTTTTTTTGCGTTCTTTCAGGTTTCAGCTCTTACGTACTTGCATTCAATTGTGTCTGATCGACTGTATTTATGGCTTAACTTGTCATTAGTTTGTTTACTTTAATCGATACGGTTGTGTTAGAACTGAGAACTTTTACAATAGCAGTTATTTAACTGTTTCCATTTGAGCAATTCTGAGGTATGCACTTGCTCACCGATTGAATTTGGCTTGGTTGTTTTGTGAAGGCTGAGCTGAAGGAGAAGCTTGCAAGGCTCTATGAGGTCAAGGACCCGAACGCAATCTTTGTGTTCAAGTTCAGGACTCACTTTGGTGGTGGCAAATCTACTGGATTTGGATTGATTTATGACTCTGTTGAAAATGCGAAGAAGTACGAGCCCAAGTACAGGTTGATCAGGGTAAGTCCAGAGTTAACTGATAAGTTCATCTATTCTAATTTCATTTTGGCTACCTAAACCAGGACATTGCCACTGCTAGAAATGTAGATAGCTATGTTGAAGTGATTTGTTTTGATCAACACCCGGGTGACTCCTAGTGCACATTGAGTTAATCTAAGTTAGTAAGAATTGTAGAGCTGCTGATTGGTTATTGGTCGTATTAATCAATGTATCTTCTAAGAGGTATTTTTTGTTAGCTCTTTCCATCATACGACGATTCAAAATATTCTCAATTTCTATATTCATTTTCCTTGAACAAGTAAAGGTTTTTTTTTTTTGTTTTCACATCATTGTTTGATGATTGGTTAATGCCGTCAGAATCTGAGTTAGTCCTGTGTTTGTTAGTATCTTTTCTTTTCTGGCGTGCACTAGTAGTTGAGAATTAGTGGATACTTAAGTCACCTGTATTGATAAACTAAACATGGGAGCACGAGTATAGTCATGTTACCCCAAACATTTTGTTTCCATTTTCATTATGGGTTTCACATTTACGTATTTAGCACATGGTAATTTCGCTTACAGTTTGCTCATGTTCATGCCACTAAAACCGTTTTTTTATATATTGCAGAACGGACTTGATACCAAGGTAGAGAAGTCAAGGAAGCAGTTGAAGGAGAGAAAGAACAGAGCCAAGAAGATCCGAGGAGTAAAGAAGGTAAGAAAGTCACTTGTGTTATTTCCTTGTGTGATTCTAGTTTGATTTCATTACCTTGCTTCTTACACCGATTTTGTTCCTTTTTTCGTGCAGACCAAGGCATCAGATGCTGCTAAGTCAAAGAAGAAATGAGCGTTGGTGATTTCGGTTCTAGTTTCTGTTGCTCATAGCAGCACTGGGCTTTTCTTAATCATATTTTGCCGTTAGGATGCGTTTAAAATGAAGATTCTGCTGTCACTGTGTATTTTTAGAGAGCCATCTACTATTTATTTTTTCTTTTCCTTCCAAAATTTCAGTATTCTGATGAGGACAGATTTATTATATTAAGTAGCAACAGATTCAGATTATTTATCTGACTTCCGTTTATTTGTGATCTCGAAGTGTTCTTAATTTTCTAACGAGCGACAATCTAATCGTGGTTAAAAGGCTCTTTGATTAAATTTCGGTCTTGTTGGACCGATGAACAACTGATTAAACTTAAACACGAAAATTAAACTGTGTTTAGGATTTGGCATCCTGCTCTATAGAACCTCATGAGCCTTGCCGTAATACTTGTTGATGAATCGATATTTAGCTCTCGAAATGTCAGGAGTTACCGGTGTTTGCACCGGGTAGAACTTGTAAATCCTCCTACTTCCGAAACCCTCTTCCCGGCTAAAGCGCCTAAGGGTGTTTGCCCCTTTGTCCGAGCTCCTTCGTTCAAATCCCCCGTCTTCTATCATCGCTTGAACAAAAGAAAAAACACTCTTGCTACCATGTTTGTTCTCTCGGCCGTTTCTCTTTGCTTCAAATAGCTTGTCCTCCACATACTCCTTCAAGCCAGCTTTTACAATCGGAGACAACTCATCATCTCCTTCTATCATCTCCTCTATGATGAACTTGGCAACTTCATCCACCTCTCCTCGTGCCCGACAGTCATCTTCTTCCTCCTCGTGATCATCCAAACACGGAAAGAAGTACTGAAGTCTCACGAAACCTTCATCCTTCGTGCATTTCAAAGCATCGCTTCTCCTTTCCGTGCATCCCAAGACAAATATTTGAGGATACTTCATCACTTGGGTGTCTGAATCTCTCTTGTACAGAGGAATGCATGGAATCCAATCCATGTTCAATTTTTTCATTGTAACCCTAACTTCTGCTCCGTCGACTGGCTTAATCCTCAGCTCATCCGAAGGCGGGTATGGCGATACAACAGCCACCAAAACAGGGACTTCAACTTCATCCTTCCTCTGACAATGACATTCAATTGTGCCAAACAGATACACGTTGTCATCGTTACCAATGACCTCATGATTGAGCCTTCCATTCTCTTCGAATGCTCGTTCGAGATTAAGGAAATCCCACTTGAACTCTTTGTGCACTGAGTCCATCCCGTGCCAGCCTTTTCCGACAGGAAACGCAGCCTTCCACAGGTCTTTCAGTTTTCGGGGCTCCTCCACCAAGTGCTCGGGTTCCGGTTTGGATTTGGGTTCGGAAGCTTTCACCCGCTTTTGCAATGGCCGAGTAGGTTTGCTGCTGTCTGCAGGTTTCTGGCTGGCCTTCCTCTTTGCTCCTTCTTTAACCATCGTAACTTTGTTAGTAATAGTCTAGCGAGAAGAAAATACTCAAAACTTTCACAGAAAGAGAGAGTAAAAATAAAACAGATAGTAATAGTCTAGTTGTTCAAATACATGATACATTTATATGACGCGACATGTGAGAACACGTGACTTGTATTCTCGGTACTGATAAAATTTTGACGTGTGAGTTTCCTAAGCAAACTAGGATTATTAGTCAATCTTGGAGATCCATTTTACCCCAACAGGAAAAGGAAACCAGATTATTTACCCTACGAGGATACCTACTTCCACCAGGGAAACGAAATTAGAAACAAAACCCTAGTCCCAATAGGAAAAGGCAGCAACTGCTCCTCCGTCTTTGGTGGTTGATTTGATGCGCAGCCTTGGTGGGGATGTTAGCGAAGTAGATTCCATTCTTCTCGAGAAAATCCTACCGCACTGTACCGTCGACCAGTTGAGGCGCACAGAGAAGAGTACCAGAGGCAGATATTTGAGTCCAGTTACTGATAAGCTGTGGCGGAAATTCTACATGGCATTCGGTGCTACGAGGGCTGATCAGGCGGCCGAAAACATGAAGATCAACATAAATGCAACAAGAAAGAAAACAAGGGGGGTTGGTTTCTGGGTGCAACGCTTCTTTCCCCTTCGGAGGAGGGTTGGTTTCTTGTACACGACTGTTGACGAAAAACTAATCTTGCCTAATCCTTCTCTATTTTCACTTAAAAAATGGCATTTCGATAAAATGTGCAGTCCACTTATGAAGTTATGACAATTTTTTGGGTACGTATGCGTCAAGAAAAGAACACATACAAGTTAAACACAAATCCACCTTTTACCAGGAGTCCTATTCCAAATAGGAAAAGGAAAAGGAAAAGCAAACCAATAAAAAGCGAATTGAACGTAAGTCTTTCATTTATTCTAACTCTTCAACTCCGCCGTCAAAAAAGTGAGTGAGTGAGAGAGAGAGAGAGAGAGAGAGAGAGAGAGACAGAAGGTGGCTAATTATATGGAAGCAAAAGCAGCAGCTTCTCCGTCTTCGGTTGCTAATCTAATTCTCCACCGCGGGGGCAATGTTAGCGACGTAGATTTCAATATTCTCGAGAGAATCCTACCGCATTGCACAGTCGACCAGTTGTGGAACATAGAAAAGAGTACGAGAGGAAGAGATCTGAGTCCCGTTACAGATAAGCTGTGGGAGAAAATCTGTGAAGCGAAGTTTGGTGCTGATCTGAGGATCGAAAAGATTAAGAGAGCGAATGTCGTGTTCAGATGGGTAGACGTGTATGAGGCAAAACTGGAAGCTGACAGGTTGAAGAGTCAGGGGCATCAAATATTTGAAGCTGCTCGAACACAAGTTCCTTCATCGTCAAGCAATAATGAAAGAAGTAGCTCTGGGAGTGGCATTAATAATGTTTCTTCCAGAAAGGGTAGCGTGCCGATGAAGAAATTGAGAAGTGAAGTTCGTCATTGTCTCGAGGTGAGAAATCGTAAGATCATGAAGAATTTCAGTTCTGCGAAAGATAAATCGACATTCAAGCCAAGCGATATTATTGTTTTGGATGATTAGGCTAAGCTAAAATGTATGAAACTTAGTTCTCTTTTTGGGTTTCAACTACGTGCTCAATAGGCAACGGTTTGATTATTATTGTATAACGAAAATCATCCAAGTTGTTTGCTCAATCTGTGAATTGTCTTTGTAATACAAAGAGAATCGAGTCTTCGTTCATAACATGGGAAGTTTTGACTTTGTTTTCTTGAATAGTACATGTACGTATTATTGGAGCTTTCTTGACCTACAAATGACCCTTTAACACATTGATCCGCCATAAACTCATCGAGTCGCTATAGCGGTGTTAGGTCAGGTTCATAAACCAAATTAGGGGCTAAGTCACTAGGCAAATGTTATAGGATAAAAATGATCAAAATCATTAATTATTTTTATGAAATTAAAAGATTTTGGAAAAGATCATCTCAAGTATGAAATCTAAAAGCATAGAACATAAACATAATTTCAATATTGAATAAAGAACCGGGGTAGTGTTGCCAAGGAGCTCATGATAGAGATCCCTTCTCTTTGAATGTTCGTTCGGGATTTTATCACATAATAATTAAGTGTAATGAGAAGTATACTACTCAATATAAGTCATATTTAATTTTATCAATTTTCCGATGTAGAGTTTCAGTATTCTTCAATCTAGACTCGAAAATGTTTACGGGGGAGAAGCACAGTGGGAGTATGGAGATTTCCTAATCCAAGTAGGTATTTTTACCAGTTTTGAAGATCACTTACTTTCGTTAACTAGTCTTTCTTAATTACCAAGTTTAACATTGACCAACTTTAATTGGGGAAAAGTCTCCCATATTGACAAGGAATTAGAATTAATCCAACTTAAATTAGGAAAACTGTACTCGTTATAAATAAATTAGATCGTTAAACTTCTCCATTAAACTTTCTCTGTTTTTTTTCTCTCAATCGCTCTGAGTTTTTAATTTCAATTGTTCTTATACAACGTTATTACTGCAATGGAGAAAGGAGGAAGTGCAAAGAGGAAGGCTAGCCAGATGCCGGAATTTGAGGACAGCAAGTCCACTCGGCCACTGCAAAAGCGGGTCAAGACGTCCCGACCAAAACCTAAACCCGAACCCGGGCACTTGGAGGTGGAGGAGGAGCCCCGAAACCTGAAAGACTTGTGGAAATCTGCCTTTCCAGTAATGACATCGTGGTGGGAATTGGACAGACTCTACAGCAAGTTTGACTGGGATTTCTCCAATCTTGAACGAGAATTCGTAGAAGGGGGGAAATTACATCATGAAATCCATGGCGAAAACAACAAGAAAAACGTCTACGTTTTTGTTACAACCGAGCCTCACATTGTGGAAGGGCCTCCATCATACAAATGCGAATCGATCCCTGTGGTGGTGGCCATATCATCGCTTTCCCCTCCTTCACAAGAACTAGCCTACAAGATAACTGATTTAAGCAGGCCGGGAGGCGGCGAAGAAGCTATAATTCCGATGAAAGAGATGAAGATGGGCTGGATCCCGTACATTCCTATGGACAAGAGAGGTGCCCAAGTCGAGAGACTGACAAAAAAATCTCTGAAAATATGTTACTTGGGGTGCAAGCAAAGAAAGGTGGCTTTGGAACGCCTTGAAAGAGATCGGTACTTGAAAATTCAGTACTCTGTGCCATACATAGTCGATCACAATAGTGTGGAGGAAGAGAATGAGCAAGATTTTGAGGTGGAGCTACCTGAGGGGGAGCATGCGAGGGAGGAACTAAAGGAAGCAAGAAGACCAGCATTTGCTAAAATGCGAGAGGAAATGGCCAGGGAACTGGCACTCGCGAAAAATATGAGGATTTACAAGTTCTACCCCGTACAAACGCCGCATACTCCTCGGGTTGAAAAGAAGCTCGCCAAAATCAACAACTACTGTCGCGACGCCAATGAAGTTTTTTGATCACACAGTTTGATTAGTGGTTGATTATTGCACTTGCACAATATTGTAACTAATGATGATCATTATTTGGTCCGTGTGGCAAAGTATTCCAGTAAATAAGAGTTTATTTCTGCGCTTGAACTTTGAATTGTCTCTATCAATTGTTACCAAATGCTTCAAAACCTGGACTAAATAAAAAAACCCCTCATCAATCAACTGTTAATGTCGGGTGCAGTAATACTAGTAGTTCGGGACTTGGGTGCGACAATGTTTGAGATCATGAGTTTGTTTTTTTTTTTTTTTTTTTTTTTTAATGGCAAAACAATACATCTAGGTGTTTTCTACTGTGCAGTAGGGGTAGTTGACCTGTCTGAATCTATTCGTTGTAAGTAAAAACCTCTCATAATTTACGGTAAATTCATGAGGGTAACCGGAAGGATCTCTCCTAATTTACAATATTAAAATTTTAAAAGATTTCCTAAACTGTTAGGTCTTGAATCTTGATTCTAATACTCAATCATTTTTCGATAAAAAGATAATACTCAATAATATTATATATGAAAAAAAAAATGTATAACCAGAAAAAAATTAATTACTTGTCTGAATTACTCAGATTATTTACAACAATTTGAAAAAGGAAACATGAAATTACCAGGATTCCTACTTCCACCAGGAAAAAGAATTAAAATCCAAACCCTAGTAGTACTAGTAGTCCCAACAGGAAAAGGAAACCGGACCTGATCGTTCCCTATAAATAAAGCAATAGGAATCTCACTTGAAATTAGAAACCGAACCCTAAACTCCCAACTCAAACAACTGAGCGAGTGAGCAGAGAGAAAGCGAGAGAGAGAGAGTAATGGCTAATGTGGAAGCAAAAGCAGCAACTGCTTCTCCGTCTTCGGTGGTTGACTTAATGCGCCGCCATGGCGGGGATGTTAGTGGAATAGATTCCAATCTTCTCGAGAAAATCCTACCGCAGTGCACCGCGGACGAGTTGAGTCGCATAGAGAAGAGTACCAGAGGCAGAGATTTGAGTCCTGTTACCGACAAGCTGTGGCGGAAATTCTACATAGAGGAGTTCGGTGCTTCGATGGCTGATCAGGTGGTCGAAAACATGAAGACCAACACGAATGCCGCATTCAGATGGAAGGAGCTGTTCGAGAAGAGAGTGGAGGAGGTGAACAAGAAAGAAAACAAGGCGGCTGAGAGGTTGAAGAGCCGGTATCAGATGGAAGCGGCTCGAAAAGAGAGCCGACGAGTTGTTATTTGCACAGAGGCAGAAGCTCCGTCTTCAAACAGGAACCGCAAAAGAAGGAGAAGCGAGGAGGTTCCGTCATCACCAAGCAACAAAAGAAGGAGCGGCAGCGGCAATAATGTTTCCGTCCAAAAAAAGGAAAGCTTGATCATGAAGAAAGCGAAAAGAGATTTTCTCAACTGTCTTGAGGTTAAAAATCTTGCAGCTATGGCGATGGTTAAATTGCATAAGAGTTACAGTTCCAAGAAGGATTCGACATTCAACCGAAGCGCCATCGTTTCTGAAGACCACGCTCCGATCAGTTTCGACTCTTGCTCAATACGCAAGAGCAGAACTTGCTTGATAGCCTAGGCCTTTAGATGAAATGCAGTCCCACTTATGACAATGTTCTATTTTCTGAGTTTAATACTTTTTGTGACTGTTTACGAAATTCGCAAATTTGACTGTAAATTAAACAAAATGTTGTATTTTGTGACGAATTTAATTCAAAGAGCTTGCACGAGATCCTTTCCTTGCGAATTAAACAAAATGTTGCAACTCATTTTGGATTACCATTCATTGAGTGCGCGAAGTCTTTCAGTGTTCTTGAATTTTAAAATGATGAAAACATATTTTATCAACGACTGTTCCTATGACACTGATGAGTTTTTTCGATCAATTAATTTGATTAGCGGTTAATTAACTTGTAAATCGAGGACAGGAATTTTCATCATAGAGTTTGTGATTACTACACTTGCACAGTGCAACTAATGTTGTTCATTATTTGGTACTTTTACGAAGTAAATTCCAGTAAATTACATGTTGTTTCTGCGATTAAACTTTAAATTGTCTCCATAAACAGTTAAAAAAGGTTTCAAAACTTAAACTAAAGAAAAGACCGCTTATCTATGAAATTGTTAATGTCGGGTACAATAATACTAGTAGAGCACTTCCGTGCAATAATATTTGAACTTAAAAGTTTTCATATTTGTTAATAAAGAGTAATGTTATACTTACCACTTAGTTGTACCATCTCTCTAATATAGATAGAGTCCATTAATGCATGTGGTTTCCGTTATTATTAGAGAGATAATACAAATAATAGTACAACTAGATGGTAAAAATAACATTGTTGTTAAAAAATACACAGATAAGTGTATTTTACTCTAAAATATAGTTCAACGAAAAAACTAGTAATTTCTTTTGTACGTTAGTATTTTCATTAAAACACCTAAAGGGCCCAAATGCAGCCAAACTAGGCCACAAATGTCGACCCACCAGGCCCAGGGTACACAGACGAGAATAAGCCCAAAGCTAAAATTCCAAAACTCCAAAGTCAACGAAAGAAGACTAATAAAGAAAGAGTGCTACTAGACTCACCCTAGTGTCTTATTTTCTCACCCATATAATAATCCCACCCACCATAGAAATTTAAAAAAGTAAAATGTTATTTCCCCACCCACCATTATTCCCAAAATAACCATAATATATTTTTTTAAATAACTCTAATAAAAAGGTAAAATGTTATTTCCCCACCCACCATTATTCCCAAAATAACCATATATATATTTTTTAAATAACTCTAATACATCTTTAAATCATATTATAAATAAAGAAAAAAAATAGAAAAAAAATGAAAGAAAATGCAAGACATAAGACCTAGACATTCATCATCTCCTTCACACCTAACACCGTCCTGCAGAGACCCCGGATCGCCGAACCACTCTTCTTCCTCCTTTTTTGTCAAACTGCAGATCTCACACCCAATTCTCTTTTTTCTCCATTGAAGTTTCTCGCCTTCATCTAGCACACGCCTATTCCTTTCTCCAACCTTTCCGTCAATTCTAACCCAAATCTTTCCCAACCTTTTTCCACCAAAGATATCACACCCC